CACCACGGTTTGCCTGGAGTTCAGGTGTGTGTCTCTGTGTGTGTGCGTGTGTGTGTGTGTGTGTGTGCGTGTGTGTGTGTGTGTGTGGGTGGGTGGGTGTGTGGGTGTGTGTGTGTGTGTGTGTGTGTGTGGGGGTGTGTGTGGGTGTGTGTGGGCGTGTGTCTGTGTGTGTCTGTGTGTGTCTGTGTGTGTCTGTGTGTGTCTGTGTGTGTGTCTGTGTGTGTCTGTGTGTGTCTCTGTCTGTCTGTCTGTCTGTCTGTCTGTCTGTCTGTCTGTCTGTCTGTCCGTCTGTGCATGTGTTTCGTGGTAACTACGTTCCAGTACTCTCGGCGTGCAAATGAAAGCGCATGTTACAGGAAGCTAGTCGTACCCCATATCAATGGCCTAGCTTAGCTTGGCTATTCAATTCTGCCCTCTACCATCAAAGTGTAACAACCTTTCCGTAATTCTATGTTCTGGTCGCTTAGACTATCTGGTATTGGATTGTTGCGCCTGTAACTCACTGCTTGGATTCCACAAACCCATTATTATCGCATATTATCGCTCTAGCCACACCTCCAGAGGACGAGGGCCGTTCCTTAGTCTCATCAACAGGTCCCCAATTTCCTTGCCCACTTCTGGCTGCAGTTGCCACTGTCTTGCTTGTACTCTCTAGCGTTGCCCTCCTAAGGCCATGACAAGCAGACCTTGGGCGTCTGGCCCAGTATACACATACTTCTTGCCTCAGCAGCGAGGGTCTCACACATTCCTGAAACGTGGTCTCAGGCAGGTCGCAGAGGTGCCCAAAGCATCGACCTTGCTTTCAGGCCGTTGCTTTTGATGCCCACTGCTCCGGAGAAAGCCAACCTGAAGTAGAACGACTTTTCAGAGCATCTGCCAACACGGAAAGTTGCCAGCGCCCAACTCACGCACAAAACCATCAACAATGACGGTGCTTCCGCCAGCATAATTACAACTAAGACTCAACTAAGAGCCTGTGTTCATTGTGTGTCGTCGGTCCTGGAAATGCATCATGGGAATGACTTGGAATGTATGCTGCAGGAGTTGCCACTAAAAATGCTTTCCAAGTTTTCGAGGCTCTGCTAAACGTGCATTACTCCCTGTCACTGTATTGCAACCCTGCGTTGATTGAAGCTGAAACACTTGCAAACTGAGGTTCGAACCACAGCTACAGACCAGAGTTGACACCGTTGTAGCTAGGAGCAGCAGGAGATAACACTGTCCCATCCCCCCAAGGCTGCGCACCAGCCAGAACCTGCAAATGGCCCGCACGACCTCAGCATCGCACTGTGTTGTACTTTAATGGATTTGGCATATGAATTAAAAACTCTTGCAGAATGTAAATCATTCATCTGATACTATAGGCAGCACCTGATAGAGCACTGTTTCGTGCTGCGTGCGACACGCTCATAGATTGAAGTACTTTCTCGGGCCCAGACAAATGATCTTCAGGAGTCTCTGCAGCAGCTTGTGGATTCTCTGCTGCAAATGGTCCTTCACTTATTACATGAACCACCAGGGAGTTTCCGATCACACCGTCTTGTTCGACACCGAACAGCTGCAGAGAAGACGACCTCGAGGTTCCGGAGTTCGGAGTCTGCCTTGGCATGCCGCAAAACAAAAGGAGCTCCTCATCATGCGACATGATCCAAAAAACGTCCCCGCCTTTGACTGCATCTTCTTCCGCTTCTGCTTGCCCTTTCCTGCCACAAACTCACGAGAGACGTGACCCCGCAGCGGCGGTGGGCGGGAGCCGTCTGCGCGAATGCAAACATGTCGTTCGCTGTGAGGCCTTGCTCGGTCTCCGCCTTGTCACCTGCGCCAGCCTGCAAAACACATTTCGATGTTTTGTAAGATGCTGTCATCCGACAGTTCAAGACATGCTGCTCTCTGTCATGTGCGACTTATCGCCCGCAGTGCTGCCGCTTTTCAAGACTCTCAGAGTGTCCTGTAAGCACATCGATGCGGCGATACAGTACCAGATTGATTGTCTTCAGAAGACACAGTAGCGCCTCTGCACCGTGGTTGGCTTTGGCCTGGCATTCCGTCACTATCACTGCCATGCAGACTCCCAGGCGATCCTTGTTATTTCGTTTTTGCAGAACAACGGATGCCGCAAATCTCACGGACAGGCCTTGTGCATCAGCTGGACCATGGCCTGCCCAGCCGCGCCGAGGATTTCATTGCCCCAGGATCGAAACAAAATCCGGCTCTGCTCAGCATGGGACAGAGAACAACTCTTGGACCAAGTCGAGGCTGACTTGCCGCCTGGTGCGGCCAAGGGAAGCAGGCCATTTTGTCGCAAGTCACGGTGCGCTAGACCCAATAATTAGCCCTGAAGTTATAACAAGTGTTGCAGGACCGCCAGAGTCTGTTGAGTCACCTTGCTTGGGTCGGACTGCTCTCTTATCTGTGCCAGCAGAGTGCACGCAAAGTGACATTGCAGTGTAGATAGCGTGAGTTGGAGTAGAGGCCATGTTGGCTTAGGCGGGTCTGAGAGTAGATAAACTCCCTGCTAAGTTTCCCGCACAACATCTAGATGCCCGCTACCCCTGCATCCCGGCAAATACAATCGTGCGATCCATTTCGAGCTTCTTCCAGGCTGCCGGCTTTCCGCCGTGCTTCATCAGGAAGACCTCCAAGAGCTCGACCTTTCGCCAAGTTGACTCCACTTGCAGTTGCATGGGCCATTCCCCCGTATCTCTGTCTCTCAGATCGTTCCCCCCACCCGCCTCACGCAAACGGCGGACGAATTCAAGTTGCTTATCTCGGAGCTTTTGCTGCCTCGAGACACACTTTGAAGTCGTCAATCAGTTGCGCAACAGGAAGGCGGCCTCTTCGTCAAATTCTTGGGCTGCGTGGTTACACCGTGGAGACCTGCAGGGCAAACACTGATTCCATGAATGTGGGCCTGGATGTCGGTTTATGCTGTTTGTCGGGACTCTTCTTCATGGTCTCTTTGAGAAGTAACAGAGTCTCCCAACAGACTCCAAAACCCTGCTCGTCACCGAAGGATCCTAGCTGCTAGCTAGCTTGTTGCAGGATTTTGACTCTGGAACGCCCTCCCCGGCCTTCGGGAAAAACAAACACACAAACAGTTTCCTCAACGTACGAAGCCTAAATTGTTCCATCAAAAAATCTCCTCCACCCCTCCACCTTTGCGGGGCTGGCTTTCACGCCTGAGCCTGCGAAAGACTCCAGTAGCTCGTCATTCTCCTCCCCGCTCAAGAGCTCGGAGAGCACCTCGATTCTTACGTTCCTGCACTCTCCGTGTCCAAAACCCAAGTGATTAGATTGGAAACACGGAGACTTGAGTCGACACTGCACGGATGCCGTGGGAACCGGAAGCATGCAACACAGATGCTAGGAACAAAGAGACGGGCGATATGAGTGCAGAAAACTTCGACGCTGCGACGCACAACTGGAGATGCACTTTCGACTCACGCACTCGCAAAGCAGGCTGGCGGTAACTGTCCGAGCTTGCTACTGTGACATGGCGGTGTAGAAGACCAATACTGATTACAGTAATGGCTAAGAACAGGGGCGTTAACAACAATCAGTATGTTCAACAATGTGAGCTCTAATCCAGTAGGTCCTCACACCGATTGACACACGGCACATGCCTTGCTGGCACCGAGGCTCGCTTCCGGGTTCCGAGCCAGAGCCGTCTATAACATATCTGATGGCGAGTTTTAAAACTCCAGCAATGGCCGAGAGTCCACTGTCCATTGATGGACACGCAGCACATTGCTGCCGCCTTTAACCCTTGGTTCAACAAGCATGGAACACGGCACATGAAGATGCGCGAAGCATCCTGATAGTTCTGAGATTCCAGGTTCGGTTGAAGCAAGAGACCTTTACAATCTCACTTTGCATCTGTACATAGCGACGCGAACTCGCTTAGGATTCCGTGCATTTCGAGTCGGAGAGCCTCACACTGCTGCCAAAGCTTTAGCCGCGTCCTTGATGCGCAAGTAGGGGATGTGCTCGTTGGGCAGAGGAAGCTTGTAGGAAAAGTCGCAAGCGAAGAACTTGGGGATGTCTGCAGAGACGGTATGACCCAGCAGTGATGATTCCCAGCGTTCCATCTTCGAGCAGGGGAGTTCGACGTTGAAGTCGGCCCACTGATTGTAGCTAACAACACCTGCCTGCACACTGTTGGCGTTGATGTCAAGCGCTTCCATCAAACGGGTAGGTGCAGCTACCCAGTCTTTCAAACTGGGAATCTCCTTCAGATTGTCCAACAAGTCGTTCAAGCCACAATTGTCAGCAGTGCCCAAGTCCTTCAGTTCCATCTTCAGCCCATCCAACTCCTCTGCGCGTTTCTTCACCCCTGCGGCCTCAGCCTTGAGGTTCTCAAGCGAGGCAAAGAGATCCTTAACCTCGCTCAAGTCGGAGATCTGCTTCACTGCGTCAAGCAAGGGCACCTTTCCTTCTTGGAGATGTTCGATGACGGCCGTGACTGAG